TTTATATATATTATTGGACCCCAATACAATACTTAGTATGTTGAATTGGCAATAAAACATGCAATATTAAAGTTTAAATAAATCAAGGAATTAAATAAGTATAATATGTACCATTATATATTAATAAAATAATGGATATATAATTGTAATACATAAAGTTTTTATGAAAACTATTCTAACTATATTTTAAAGTAAACATTTTTATGCATACAAATTACTGTTAATTCATTACGTTGATTTAAGAGATCATTATTTTTAGGAAACTTAATATGTAGTTTTTCATATAGACACAGGAGACATGGGGACTTTAAGGACTTACAATTTCTCGTTTTTTAATATTTTCCATTTTACGGTGGGGGTTTTATTGATTTCTTTTAACTGTCCAAAATATTTAGAGAGGGATGTTCGGTTACGGTACGCATTGTTGTTAAAAGAAGATATATATTGATACCACCTTTGTTTAAAAGGGTTTTTGTGCTACCAATATAAAATTTCTTAACACCTGGGTTTTCAGTAGATGAAATGGTGCACTGGAAAACAATATATTATGTGAGACATCTATTTTTCAATGGACAATTTATGGGATTTCTACAATTACATAATTTATTACCAATATTATTGATTCCTGCTTTGGAATTACTATTATTATTTATGTTTAAGTATTTATTTAAAATCTTATTATTATGTTCTTTAATAATATTTTTAGATTATCAGTACAACTATAACTTAATTTAAGCGTATTTTTATTGGAAATCTTGTTTAGAGGATTATTACTTGGAAAATGTTTCTCAGTCAAAGCAAGAAACTTTTGCGCTAACTTAGTGGTAACCATTTGGTTAAATGGGGTGTATACGAAATGATTTTTCTTTTTCTATTTTTTTCACGCCATCTTTATTATCTTCTCCGTATTTAATATCGGGGAATTTATAGCCACTATTTTTTAAAGCATTATCATAAAAATTGCAGTTTATAAAATATATCTTCATTGGCAGAGTTAATACTATTTCTATATTCTATGGATGAGGGTACGTTTTTTATTACAGATGGAGGATAATTAAACTTTGGGTGGATATGTAATGGATTAGTATTTGTTTTCTAGTATGTTTGGTATATATTTGTTGACTAAGTTTAGTGTTACATCGAGGAAGTTTACCTTTCTTAAATTTGTATTGATTGTAACTTTTAGGTTTAGGCTTTTAAACCCTTTGTGTATTAATTTTCTAATTTTGTCTATTTTGAAGCTAGTAGAATTCATCACAATCATAAGGCTATCATCCCTACATAATCCTATATCCTCTCTACTGATGTCATGGTGGGCAGTAAGATTGCATAAAATGAAAAATTCAACAAGATCGGAAGACTCCACTCAAATGGGGCTTAATGTTTGTGGAGTTTACTCTGATCAACCAATCGATTATGACTTACGTTAAATTTAAACTAAGCAAAGAAGCAAAAGTTAAGAAATTGTTTTTCATAAATGGGTCATTACTCGTAGATTGGCAGTCACTGGTAGCACAGACAGGAGAGAATGTTAATGGATACATAATTTATATACACTATACAATACCATTTTTTAAGAAAAATGGGGTGGGGAGGTAATTTAACAAAATGCTAAACAAGTTATATGCTTTGTGAGTTTCCTACATGAATTTTCTATAGTTGATAAATAAATAGCTTCTTTACGAAACGAGTAAATAATTTAAATCTACAGATTAATATGCAACAGTTGACTAAAGAGTCTTTATATAAAGTGTTAATAAAAAATAACCAGTCAGTGAAAAATCTCAAAAATACCAATATTATTAAAAAACTATGTCATCTCATATATATATATATATATATATATATATATATATATATATATATATATATATATATATAAAATAAATATGTAGTAGTGGTTCCAACGAGAGAAAAGTATGTATATTAAAAAGAAGAGGGTGCCGCAAACGTTTTTGGTTGTAATGTGGATTTATTGAGAAAAAATATTATACTTTTGTTTTACATAATTTCACGACACGTGTTTCTGGTCTGGTCTCATAGTAAACGTCTTCAGGTGAAAGTGCCAGAAACACGTGTCGTGAAATTATAAAACAAATTATTTTTCTAAATGTGGATTTTTTCTGTCTAAAAATATGTTTAAACCAAAAAACCCTTTTTTATATATATATATATATATATATATATATATATATATATATATAATAAAAAAAATGTCTATTATTTTAATAATGCAAGACTCTTCTGGTAAATCATGTTATAAATATATATATATATATATATATATATATATATATATATATATATATCCAGGTAAGATGAGAATGAATAGATTACAATTCTAATGTTCGTAACATTTAGTTTAAAAGAGGGCTCAATACAAAGTAGAGCAATATTATTTATTTTAGGATATTACATCAAAAAACATATCAAAATCTTTACACAATTGCAGTCGTGTTTCAATGCATACTAATGCGTCTCGTCAGGTGATTGTAATTTACTGACATGTGAATATATATTTAAAAGCAAAATACAGCCTCTTTTTTTACGAAAAAAAAAAGAAAAATCGAAGTATAAGGTTTGGGGGTTTTACGTACATCAACAAATTGGATATGACCCATGTTAAATTTAAACTAAGGGAAGAAGCAAAAATTAAGAAATTATTTTTCATAAATGGGTCAAGACCCGTAGATTTGACATCAATGGCAGCAACAGATGTTTAACAGGAGTGGATGTAAATGGATACATATTGTTCATTAGACAATGTCATTTTCTAAGAAAAAAATGATGTGGTAATCTAACAAAATGCTACACAAGTTATATGCTTTGTGAGTTTCCTACATAAAAAAACACATTTTTGTAGTTGATAAATAAATAGCTTCTTTAAGAAACCAGTAAATAATTTAAATCTATAGATTTACTTGGTAAATTAATAAGCAACTGTTTACTAAAGATTCTTTATATAAGATGTTAATAACAATTACCAATCAATGTAAAATGTCCAAATGCATCGGTACATGGTGTTACTAATACTACCAGGAGGTTAAATCAGAATTATATTAAATCCAAATTAATCTTCCAAATAGAAAGAAAAGCCATATATAGTCCAACATAGTACAACTAAAGTCTAAGAAAATCGTTCTCAACGGGAAAAGGAGGTTCGGGAGTGCAGCTGAAATGCACTGAAACCAAGTTGCATTTTTGTAGTGAGTAATTTTTTTTCTATATGATAAAATTATAGTAAATAATTATCACTCTACTATCGGTATCGAGCCCTCTTTTGCATTACTGCTGTGAACGTTAGAATTTATATACAGTGTAATCCGGATATAAGAGACCCGGATATAAGAGAAACCCGGATATAAGAGAGATTTTCTCTGGTCCCAAATTAGAACCTGTGATAATGTATATAAATTAAACCCGACCAGGATATAAGAAAAATTTTTTTAATTATAAGATACTTCTTCTCCGGTCCCGACAACTCTCTTATATCCGGGTTAACTGTATTAAAGGATAAAATATCTATCGCATATATATATATATATATATATATATATATATATATATATATATATATATATTATATTGCGTTTTTAAAAACTGTCGCCTCTAGTTATTGACTTCAATGACCATCTTACATATATATTAGTGTAACCCGGATATAAGAGAGTTGTTGTCGGGACCGGAAAGAAGTCTTTTATGATATCCAAATTTGTTCTTATATCCGGGTTTGGTCTATTTTTATACATTAACACAGGCTCTAGTTTGGGACCAGAGAAAATCTCTTATATCCAGGGTTTCTCTTATATCCGGGTTACACTGTATATATATATATATATATATATATATATATATATATATAAATAAGTGTGTGTGTAGAGATAGATAGATAGATAAAGGAAGAGACGGAATAGATAGATAGATAGATAGATAATAAAGAATGCATTTAAATTCTATGACTTTTTTTCACACATACACATATTTAAAGCCTCATCGCAACCATAGGAAAGACCTCTGCTATACACAATCTCGTATATATCAGTAGACGTCCGGGCTGTTGAACAAAGACTCCCCTGTGACATCACACCGTCAAAGGTCACATCTATCCCACACTGACAACTGATGACTAAGGAAAGATTGAAGCTCTCCCTTATTCTGCTAAGGTCTTAAATATACATCCATTTCAACCTCATTCGTGGTCACAGGGACATTACGTAGACGGCGGGCGAAAATGGCTGAAACGCACGCATCAAACGAGGACACAGATAACTTTTCTATCTTTGACAGCCGAGAAGATTGAATAGACACAAATATTTGTGGCCGAATTTCATTTTTATTTCCGCTGACAAAAGAAATTTAAATTAGATCAATTTGTAAAAAGTGATGTATGCAAATTACAAATTGGAGATTAAACAAGTAAAAGAATTTAAATATCTGGGAAGTATTTATACTAACGACGGAAAATGCGACACTGAAATCCGAAGGCACTTGTGACAGGGAAAGATGCCTTCTTCAAGCTAAGCAGAATATTAGGAAACAGGAAAATTTCATTAGAAAAAAAAAATGAACTGCTACGTAATATAAGTCCTGCTACATGACAGTGAATGCTAAACAATCTCCTCACAGATGAAGAGGAGACTTGAGGCTGAAAAAACGTGTTTCTACAGAAGGATGTTGAGAATACCATGGACCTAACAACAGCGGAATTTTATAGAAAATGGAAACAAAAAGTAAACTTTTACTTAACATCAGAGAAAGACAGTTGCAATTTCATGAGGAAAGAAAAAATTGGAAGGTTTGATACTCAGAGGACAGGTTGAAGGCTTAACAACTCTTGGCAGGTTATTTAAAGCTACAAATTATTTTTTAGATAGTAAGAATTTTTCTGAGATAAAAATGATTACCACTAATTAACCCATAGCTGGGGGGAGGAGGTGGAGTCATACATTTCCCAAGAGTATTTCTGCGTTAGTGAATATAACGAACCTAACTAAAATTGGAACTCGGCATATTCCCAAGCACTGACCCATCTAATTACTGATCAGGCTCGACGTTGCTTAACTTCGGTGATTGTACAAGAACCGGTGTTTCAACGTGATATTGAGCCTGAGTGTCCAACAGGGTTTAGGAGAAATAAAAAAAAATAAGACAAAATTTATTAAGAATTACAAACGACAGGAAATTGTGGAGAGCCATGATCGTATAGGTCCTGAAGAAACACGACAAATAGATGAAAAATTCGACCTTTATCTCTCCACATAACTACATTGGGATTGAAACACTGACCGATTTTCGAGCCTTGATAGATTTGTGGTCCTACAGTATTTACATTATTCGGACTATTGTCCTCATCATTGTCGCCATATTTATCACAACGTTTCGGCCGTTGTACGCTCCAGCCTTCTTCAGGTGGTTGGAATGTTGAACTGAACCCTTTATTTTGATCACTGGGGTAGACTGTTCTAATTCCACGTGCCATGTTTGATGGATGTCAAATTTATCAAATTATCTCCTGCTAATTTTCCCTCTGAATGTTCTCCACTGCCTTAACCGGGTATTGAACTCACATTCTTTGGGTCCTGTCACTGGATCTAACCAACGCCTTTATCCACTGTGCCATGTGTCCTCAAGTGGAGCGTACAACGGCCGAAACGTTGTGACAAATATGGCGACAAAGATGAGGACAATAGTCCGAATAATGTAAATAGTGTACATAATACCTCATCTCAGAAATATAGACAGACATTTGTGATCCTCTTTATTTTATTTTCCTCTTCTCCTTCATCTATATAAATAAATGCGTATGTCTGTGTGTCTGTGTCTCACACTGTTGCAACTTTACACCTAGAGGCTGTAGCCCAATATTACGTAGCATTTTGAAGTTTTCATTACGGAGATTGTTTTTAGATTCCGCCATCTTAGCTTCTACTAATAAAAATTATTAAAGGGACGCAAATCTCTAACTTTCAATAACTGATGTTGAAATTTAAAAACTTGTCCGTGCTTTCAACTTCACTCCGAGAGGCTATCGACTAATATATAGCATTTTGGAATCAGACACCGTGAGCAAATTAAATTAACCAAAAATCCAGAAATTTTTTGATTCCTAAATTTTCATTACTGCGATTGTCTTCGGCGATATTTTACGTGATTTTTTGCGACAAATTTTTGGTGGGATAGCAATTGTCATTACTCGGAAATAAATTTGAGAATATCGAAATTAATTGCGAAATCCATCGAAAGTCACCCATGAAATAAAAATAATTGTTTGTACAAAAATTAAGGACCTACTGTTATGGGACGTTACCCATAATAACATAATGGGCTATTCCATACGTAATAAATACTGCGCCTCAAGAGGAAGCAGGTCGGTTGAACTCTCCGCCTTCGGGCGGGGAGGAACCCGATCGAGGCTACGCCGAAGGGCGGAGTCTATTTCGGGGAGGTAAACAGACCCTGAACCCGTTTATACGGGTTCAAAGGGCATATTTTTTGCCGAGCCCACGGGCTCGGAGATTCCACGTTAAATCGGCCTTGTGCCACATGATGCTCTCGTGGTGGGGTTGACTAAATACTGTTCAGTCTGAAGTTTGAGTGAAGTCCGTCAGGTCTTCGTCAGTCAGAGCGAGTCAGTTCAGTCGAATCAGAGGCAGTCCGAAACACAGAGTCGCGTTCAAGACAATTACTACTAAACCTGATTGTTCGTACTAACACTTTCTACTTCTCTGTATATATTCCTGTTTGTAATATATCTGTGTTATTCCATATACGTGTTCGAGTTCTTCTTTATTGGTTCTACCACGGACTATCACCGCGGTACAAGGAACTGGACAATAACAACTACCTACATGCAATTTTCTTGGCGGCAGACGAAATATTGAACTTTTAAATGGTAGGCTTAAATAATAACGTAATACTTAAATGCAGCAATCAATTTTGAGTTCTTCTGTAGTTTATTGTTGCCTATCGTATACGGCAGCAGTATGCCCCGCAAAAATAAATCTCCGCTAACAGATTGCTTTCTTTCACCATACAGTCAGTTTTAGACCCACTGGAGTGACAGGGTGTAATCGATTTCTATTTTTTCCTCAGATTAGGTCATTTGCAGTGGTGTGCAGTAATATGAATCTATTTTCGGGGTGTATGATGAAATTTGTTTCCCTTTGAAAAATATTGCGTCGTCTGTGATTGCATCAGATTTTTATCACGCCCAGACACTATTGTCTCGACTGTCGATTAGTTGTCCTCCGGTCATTGTCTGCGATGAACGTTACTCAAAGGAGGTGTACGAATATTGTAACGCTGTACAAACACCCTGGCAAGCCTTACCAGTGAGCAAGTCAAAGTACAATCAACTGGCCCTGAAATTCTCCTGATTTAAATCGAATCGAGAATCCGTGGTCAATCTGCAAGGAAAGACTTCGTGGAATGGACATAAGAAGTACTAACATGTGCACTGGGTCATGTTTGATTGGAAACAAAAAAAAGTAAACAATAACGGAATTCATTTAGTTTTAATTAATTTGCACAAGGGTGGAGATAGAAACAGATTGACATAGATAGATAGATAGATAGATAGATAGATAGATAGATAGGAAAAGATTGAACAAGATACAATAGGTATAAATCGATATATAGATAGATAGGAAAACATTGAAATCGATAAATAGATAGAAATCGATCGATATATAGATAGATGCATAGACAGACAGATAGATACATAAGAATAGATAGATAGATAGATAGATAGATAGATAGATAGATAGGAGAAATATCTTCAGCACCTTCCACAGTATTATAACTAATTTTGTTCATGCTATTTTCTTTTTTCTACTAAAATTTACCTAAAAATAACGCTCGATAGGCACTTAGGTAGACGGTTGTTATTAAATAGTAATGAATAATGATATTGATATAAATGTGTGGGTTATCACACTTGGCTTGGCCAAAACGCCGGCAGAGGGCGTTCTTTACCAGTTCAGGGATATTCTTTCTCTTTCTCTTGTTAGATCATATTTTGGCTCTTGCTTTAACAAAGAACGCTCCCGACGGGGCGCGTTCGTTTCTTTGATGCCCAGTTAACGTTGGAAATTTCTCACACACGAATATACACACACGTCTCTATCACACACGCTTGTTACACACACACAAACAAGTATATTATCCTTATGAATTATGTTATGTTCTGTTTGATTCGTTACAACTGTCTACATAGGTAATTTCTTTTGTTAATAACATGTACTGTCGATTATTTTAGATTTAGTGCTTTTGCACTAACGTCTTTATCCACTGTGCCATGTGTCCTCAAGTTAGATCCAGTGACAGGACGCAAAGAGTGTGAGTTCAATACCTGGTTAAGGTGGTGAAGAACTTGGAGAGGGGAATTAACAGGAGATAACTGACACCCACATGTTATGTGGAACTAGAACAGTCTACACCAGCGAGCGAAATAAAGGGTTCAGTTTGACATTCCAACCACCTGAAGAAGGCCGTAGCGTACAACGGCCGAAACGTTGTGATAAATATGGCAACAAAGATGAGGACAGTAGTCCGAATAATGTAAATAGTGGATATAATACCTCATCTCAGAAATATACAGATAATTTGTTTTGTTCTTTTACACTCGGTAACCTCTTTTGTCTTAGTGACTTTATTGCCTTACTTGGGGTGAAATGATTATACTTCTCACCTGTGGAACTCTCTCCCAGCTTCTTCCTTCCGAGTTAACTTTGATCTTCAAAAATTTAAATTCGATGTCAGTCGTTATCGTCTGTCTTAATTCTTGTTCTTTTATAGCTCTCTCTCTCTCTCTTTACCTCTTTAATAGCGTTTCTTTGTTCATGTTCCCAAACACTTTGTAATCACTTGCGTCTTAGTGGCTTTATTAACTTGCTTGGGGTGAAATTATTAAAAAAGTGTTAGAAATGTTGGAAGTGAAGAAAGGAGCTCATTTGAATATTCTAGTCTGCAGAATCAGACTCAACGCTGAGTTTAAGCAAGCGAATGAGCCAATTGGAGTAAAGTGCTATGCAGATTTAAATTTTTCCCACTTGTGACGAATGCAGCTATCGGTTTTTTTGCATGCTAGCATGCTAGTTAACATTCGTGTCAGTCAGCTGTTGGCTCTCACGCTGGCCAATAGAATCTTCCTGCCTATTAGTGGCAGCCAGCTATTGGCTCTTACTCTGGCCAGTAGAAAATGGCCGTAAAATACATGAAAACTGCTGTAGAAGCATGAAAAATCGATTATTTCTACTATCGATGGGAGTTGGGAAATGCAAAGTCAGTGTTGGCCTTCCCGCTAATTTGGACCATGTGCATGTAAATTTTGTTGCAAATCCGTCGAAAATTGCGGCCGTGCATTCGTTACACACACACACACACACATCCTGCCTTTTATATATATATATATATATATATATATATATATATATATATATGTGTGTGTGTGTGTGTGTGTGTGTGTGTGCTTTTATATGTATATGTGACTATTTTTAGCAAGAAAATAGGATTTAGCAGATGGTTAATACATTACGACTGCATCATTTGCCTTTACAACCATAATGGCGTAATCTTTCTTCGGATGTGCAAACTTAGAATGTGTATATTGAGCGTTGCTATTCCATGCCTTACTGGTGGCCTGTCTCAGCTTCCCGGGGGCAGAATATTGGGTGTGGCTTACCCACACATCATTTGTCCCCACTCCCTAAACACGCGACCGAGTTGTCGGGACAAAGCAGACTCCTTCATTACAGATGAGAAGTCAGCGCTGAGGTACAAAACACTCGTCATTACACTACGCTAAAGCACATTGTCTAGACAAAATAACTACCTTTTCCCTTTCTCCTTTATTTATTGGTATTTTGGTGGGATCAACCTGTGTTCTTGAATCTCTTGGCACTTGAGAGCTGTCAGAGTTCCGTCAACAAGAACTACACAGCGTTGCCGACAGCAGGTTAAGACACCGTAGACTCTAACTCCTTCACCACTGAATCCGCGAGCAACCCTTTCTGTGTTTATCGTCTGGAATCAAAAGATCAAATAAAAATTGCTGAAGTTGTCAGCCCTGTCAAGACTGAAGCACTTTTCGTCTGTC